TGGGGGGCTCTGGGCGGTCTGCTGGGGGCGCTGTCCCGCCGGTGGGGTGGGCTTTCTGCTGGGGCTGCTAGTGGGGTGGGGGCTGGGCTTTCTGCTGGGGCTGCTAGTGGGGGCTGGGCTGTCTGCTGGGGGCACTGTCCTGAGAGTGGGGTGGGGGTGTTGGCTGCAGGGAATGGGTGGTATCTTGGGTGCAGGATATGCTTTGTAGGATGCTGCAGAGCTCCCTGGGGTGGATGTTATATCCTGGGGCACTGAGGCCTATGTGGCAGGGCCGGGCATGCACAGTGTGGCTGTTCCCCCCACCTCCTGAAGAGCTTTTCCCCCTTTGAGCTCTGGCTCATGTTGCCTGCGGGGTGCAATGTGCTTGGGGCCACTCCTGGGTTCATTCCCCTATTTCTTGCTGGTAGGATGGGAATCCATGGCCTGGCCAAGCTGATCGCAGACGTGGCGCCTGGTGCCATCCGAGAGAATGACATCAAGAGTTATTTCGGCCGGAAGGTGGCGATTGACGCCTCCATGAGCATCTACCAGTTCCTGATTGCCGTGCGGCAGGGAGCTGACATGCTGCAGAATGAGGAAGGTGAGACCACCAGCCACCTGATGGGCATGTTCTACCGAACCATTCGTATGGTGGAGAATGGTATCAAACCGGTCTACGTCTTTGATGGCAAGCCCCCCCAGCTGAAGTCGAGTGAGCTGGCCAAGCGGACTGAGCGCCGGGCCGAGGCAGAGAAGCAGCTCCAGGAGGCCCAAGAGGCAGGGGAAGAGGACAACGTGGAGAAATTCAGCAAGAGGCTAGTCAAGGTGACGAAGCAGCACAATGATGAGTGCAAGAAGCTGCTGACCCTGATGGGCATTCCCTATGTGGAGGCACCAGGTGAGGCTGAAGCCAGCTGTGCCACCTTAGTGAAAGCTGGCAAAGTCTATGCAGCTGCCACTGAGGACATGGACTGCCTGACCTTTGGCAGCCCCGTGCTGATGCGGCACCTTACGGCCAGTGAGGCCAAGAAGCTCCCTATCCAGGAATTCCACCTGAACCGTGTCCTGCAGGACCTGGACCTAACATGGGAGCAGTTTGTGGACCTGTGCATCCTTCTGGGCTGTGACTACTGCGAGAGCATACGTGGCATTGGGCCCAAGCGTGCTGTGGAGCTCATCAAGCAGCATAAGACCATTGAAAAGATTGTGCAGCACATAGATCCCAAGAAGTACCCCCTACCTGAGAACTGGCTGCACAAGGAGGCCCAGCAGCTCTTCCTGCAGCCTGACGTGGTGGACCCTGAGGCTGTGGAGCTGAAGTGGAGCGAGCCGGATGAGGATGGGCTTGTCCTTTTTATGTGTGGGGAGAAGCAGTTCAATGAAGAACGGATCCGCAATGGGATCAAGAGGCTGAGCAAGAGCCGCCAAGGCAGCACTCAGGGCCGGCTGGATGACTTCTTCAAGGTGACTGGCTCCATCACCTCAGCCAAGCGTAAGGAGCCAGAACCCAAGGGCTCAGCCAAGAAGAAAGCAAAGGGCAATAGTGCAGCAGCAGCAAAGTTCAAAAAGGGGAAATAACCAGACCTTCCAGAACTGTCCTAGTTCTCTTCCACTCCCAGATCCTCCAGGGGTTTAAATTTGTTAGAAGATCCTGTATTCTTCCTGCACTGCTCTGAGTTATACCCTGCAGGGGAGAATGGTACCTGTGCTGCTTCCGCTCCTCCATATAGTGCTTCCCTGTCAGTGAACCAGATGACAGTCTCGTAGCACAGAAGCAGTATAGGCACAATGCTGCGGGAAGAGAGGGACAAAATTAGTGGAAGGGTGGGGGAATTTGACAAACCAAGGGGCGAGGGAGCTGTACTAGCAATCCAGTGACAGTGTTCATCAGCTTCAGACTTACTTTGTCCAAGGCCAGACTGGGGGTGCTGCAAAGATTGTGCAAGCAACACCTTGTGTCACTCTGGCTGACTGAAGGAGTGCTGTTGACTAGCCATAATGCAAGCCAAATCCAAATACTGAAAAGGAGGATGTCAGCCAAATGGACCAAGAAATCAGCTCAAAGTAGAGTGTGGAAGAGATGGCGACTGAAGCAGAAAGTGGGGAAGAAATGCGTAAAATCCAAATGTGTGGGGGGGGGGGGGGGAGGTAGAGAGCTACAGAAAAAAGGGAATATCTTACTTTAATGGGGATTCTCTATGGTCTTCCTTCGCTTATCTGTATGTATTAGATTGGTAATTAAGTGATTGATGGAGAGAAAACATAGACATTTAAAATCCTCTTGAAGTTTTAAACTCTCCCCCTCCCCTATTTATAGAAGTATCTGATCAGGGAGGGGAAGATTCTTCCCCCCACAGAAAGTACTGAAATTTAACCATTTGATGCAGATTATTTTGGTTCCATTCCAGATCCCAGCCCTGTGTTGGTTTGGTCCCAATATGTAAATGAGGCGGAGCTGTGAAGGAATTGTAACTCCCCAAGTTTAACATTTGTCACTAGGTTTTATTTTATTTTTTAAGTTTTGAAGAAAAATGTAAATAAACCTAAAAATGGAAAACTGTTCAGTTGTTCATTCGGATTTGAAATTACTGCTTCACTGCAGCCCATTCCAAAGAAAAAGTTACTCAAATGGAATAAAGGTTAGAAATCCATAGGAATAATGCAAGGTGAGAAAAACCTTGAACATTATCCCAGCCCTTCTCACAAGCTGCATTCATTTTAGCAGAGATTTCCAGGCTCTGTGGAATGTGAAGGAACTAGGATTTAGGGAAAGACATTTGGTCTTCCCTTGTGCCATTCTCTGCTTCTCCAAACTGTACAGGGGACCTAATACTATTTGCATTTTCCATTATAAAAGTGCTGTACAAACATGAATTTGTGCCTCTTGATTTTCCATATCATTACAATGGGAAAAGAGAGACCGATGAAGTGGTTCACTCATGAGCAAAAGTGGTCTTGCAGATTCAGTGTTGGATTTGGGCATAAGGTGATCTGAAATTTCAATCCTGGCTTGGATGGTAATTTGGTTTAGGCTTTATACAAGTCGATTAAGTTATCTGAGATTCAGTTTTCCTCATTTATAAAATGGGAACAGTGATACCTACCTCACAAGGTGTTTGAGGCTGAATTAATTAGTTTTATAAAGCACTTTGAGATCATGGAATGGAAGGTGCTATTGGCAGGAGAATATCAGGATCACTGAAGTGACAGCAGAAGATAGATCTCTTGAACATTTTTGCCATCTTGCTTGGTTGCTACATTAATATCTCTCTTCCTCTGCCATCTAGTAGTTGTTGGTCTGGTAGCTGACGACGTGTATAGGCGTAGCCTGCATTCATCAATTGGCATGTTCCATACGGTACAATTTTAAGTGAGCAAAATTCCAACTCAGTAAATATAAAATAGAAGTCCATATTGAAGCCACCTGAACAAATCAAATTTGTGCTTTCTAGGACAAGCTGGAGTTTGAAATGACATTAGACCAATTTTCAAACAGAAGAAACAATGTTGAAGTTGGAGGAGGGAATCATCTCACAAATGCTCTGTCAGGTTATAACCAAATTTTTCTCAAAAAGTCATTTTCCTCTGGCAGACAGGTACATTTACAGAAGATTGATTTAACTTTGTCAAAATTAAAAGGTGGAAGGGGTGTCAGAAGCAGCTTTCTAATGGAAAATCAGCCAGCTCATCTCTGCAGGTTGCTGGACCTTTGATGGTGCTGGGTCTGACTGACTAGCTTATTGCTTTGTAATGGAAAGCTAACCACCTAACATTCAGTGTGTAATAGGTACCTTACTTTAAGCAACTGAGACAAAGGGTACATTTTTCACCTAAGTCCTATTTTCAAAAGTGATTTAGGCACCTAAGAACCTTAGTCTCATAACTCAATGGGACTTAAAAGGTTAAGTGCCTGGCTGAGTCACTATTGAAAATTGGACTTAGGGATGTGTTGGTTATTTATTTTTTTTTTTAATTTACCCAAAGTTTTAAGTAGTGAATGTAGAGAAACTAGCCTGCTGAAACTCATTTAGTCCAGTCCCCTGCACCCATGGCAGGACTAAGTATTATCTAGAGCATCCCTGACAGGTGGTTGTCTAACCTGCTCTTAAAAATCTCCAACGATGGAGATTCCACCACCTTCTTAAGCAATTTTATTCCAGTGCTTAACTAACCTGACAGGAAGTTTTTCCTGATGTCCAGCCTAAACTGCCTTTGCTGCAATTTAATCCCATTGCTTCTTGCTCTATCCTCAGAGGTTAAGGAGAACAATTTTTCTTCCTCCTCCTTGTAAAAACCTTTTATGTACTTGAAAACTGTTATCGTCCCCTCTGTCTTCTCTTCTCCAGACTAAACAAACCCATTTTTATTCAATCTTCCCTCATAGGTCATGTGTTTCTAGATCTTTAATAATTTTTGTTGCTGTTCTCTGGACTTTCTCCAATTTATCCACATCTTTCCTGAAATGTGGTGCCCAGAACTGAACACAATACTCTAGTTGAGGCCTAATCAACATGAAGTAGAATGGAAAAATTGCTTCTCATGTCTTGCTTACAACAGTCCTGCTAATACAGGAGTAATAATGGATCTTGGATCTTTACCTTTCCACTGCAGAGCAACATTACAGATATTCCCAGTTTAGGTTATTATCTCTGAGGCAGGGCTGCTGGGGAAACTGATTTATTGAATTTAGTTTTTTAATGATGTTGTGGACCCAATTCAGTGTTCCCGGCCAATGGGAGCTGGGGAGCCAGCACTCGGAGCAGGGGCAGCATGCGGAGCCATGGTTGACTTTATGCCTAGGAACCAGAGGGACGTGTCGTCTCGTCACTTCCCGGGAGCTGCACAGAGCCCTCTAACAAATAAACAATAAAGGTCTGAAGGAGACTTTCTAGTAGGTCAAAGAGAATACTAAATCTACGAAAATTTGCTCAGTGAACGGGAATGCAGGAAAAATACAGAAAATAAACTACTCCTGCACAGTTCCAGTTCATAGAGGATCATGGACCTGTTCCCTTTACCCCCCCTTGAAAGCCATGAGTCTGACTGGGTATTGGTGGGATGGGGTAAAATACCATACATCATATGTTCCTGCAGGGACTGCTTTTAAATTGTTAGCATTTTTCAAGTGATACACTTAGTGATACACCTGAAATACTACAGATGATATCTCTGTTTAGAGGAGATAATACTGTGGTATTTGTGGGCAAATGTTCCCTTTTTATTGGAGACCACTGGTCTTGATTTCAGCATTGTGAGTAATGGATTGGTGGAAGGCAGTAGAATATGGGTATTAAAATACTGACACAAATTTTGAGAAATTAAGAAACCTTGGAGTCCGTCTAGTTCCCAATGAATCATTGGACACACTCCTACCTTTTAAACCACCTTTGCATTTTCCTAATCTGGTGCTCTGGGGGCTGGTGCAGCCCATGGTTCAAGTAAATATAGCAGTGTATGGCTGCAGTCTAGGATAGTACGTTGACCTTTCTTCGTCCACCTCCAGCCACATTCCTACGCTAGGAGCGATAGAGGAGGGCAGCATAGGGCTGCATGGCACCTTGGTCAATGATCTCTCAATTAATAAAGTTCATATATGTACATGGTGATTTTTGGGGGACAAATGAGCATGGCTTCTGTAAACTTCAGTTGTGTCTCTCCAATCTACTGGGAAACTTGCAGCTTGTCAGCAAAATAATTGATAAATGAGATCCAGTTTGTATAACTGATCTGCATTTTCAAAAACATTTGACTAAATCTTTCACAAGTGGGCAGAAAGGAAACTAACTTGTTATGGAGTGAGAGGTAAAGTCTAGTCATGGATTTAGGAACTGGCTAAAAAAAACATAGAACAAAGACTAGGGATAAGGATCATTTTCAACATGGGACAAGGTTAACAGCAGGGATCCAGGTGCTCTTCCTTCTCCCTCCACTGCCAGTTCTCATTATGGCAGCCTGCCCTGCAGAGTGGCTGATAATCTGGGCTCCCCCCACCCCTAGATCTCACCGTGGCGTCCTGTCCTGCATAGTGACTGATGATCTGGGCACCCCTCGTGTGCTCCTGGTAGAACTGGCTGATGTCATAGACCTTCCTGTCAATTACCAGCCACCGCTCCTGCTGCGGGTGCCCCGGCCCATGCAGAGTCCAATGTCCTCCCAGGTGAACAGCTGCACAGAGGAGCCCGCATCAGACTGTGGGTCCTTTTTTGCCTCCTTGCCTTCACGTGCTGGCTGCAGCGCCATCACTACACTTCTCACTTAGTCCCACTGATCCTCTGCCTGCAACTGTCACCTGCCTGATCAGACACTGTGCAGGCTCTGCCTTTTTACGCTATCTGTGTAGGGAGTAATGACGCAGCCTGCCAAGCACTGCACCCTTCTGCTTGCCAAATGGCTACAAGGCTCCTCCCACGGCCTTACTCCTTTCATAAATCTTTCTCCCTTTGTTCAGCTCCCTGCCACAGAGAGTAATTTAACTTCCATGATCCCCCAAGAGCACTCTGCTCCACCTGGGATGACACAGTGGGACAGATCCAGATTGTAGTTATCAAGCCCTGGGAACAGAGTATTGTCCCTATCAGAAAATAATCAGACTGTACCCAAGTCTTCAAGTACTTTGATCACAAACTTACCCATGCCTGCTCCCAGCCTGGCTGCTCACAATTAAAAAAAGAAAAATTACACAAACATACACCACCACAACAGACCCCCTAGCAGCTGCACACACCCACACCCACACTTCTCAGTCCCAGCGGAACAGCGAGAAAATCAACATTTTGTTCTGAGCTTTTCTGTTCTTTGTTTTTGTTATGTGTTTGATACAAGGGCGATA